CTCAGAACAACTGACTATTGATTATCTAAATCTTTGCATTTTCAGGCATGATAAAATATGAGTTTTTGACAAGAGAAGAGATTTCAACTTTCCTTCAATTAAGCTTATTAACTGGAGCACCTACATCTCCAAAACCATTATAGAAATAGTATTTATAATCAATTAGTTCTTATCAAATATATTTTGAGGAAAGCCGAGCAACAGTGACAAGAAATCATTTTACTTTCATTGTCTTTAACTACTAACCAAGTTACAAAGGCATTTATTAAAAAACAGAAGCTAGAGCAGTCTATGAACTATAAATATTTTATTACATAATAAAGCCCATTCTTAAACCTAAGAGGAGGAATTGAGGCAAGTGGGTAAGAAAGATTCATAGTATACAAAAAATGTAAATTTTTTAATTTTCTATAAATGTGTTATTAATTTTTCTCACATTCTGGCTCTTACATTATTTTAAAATTGGCCATTTTCAACTTAAAAAAGGTTGCTTTTACAGCCAAAGAATGTGAAGAACTGTTATTCTATTTTATTTTTTTTCCTTTAATTTTCCTTTACTTTCACCAGAAATTAGCTTACTTATTCCATTCAAGAATTAAAGCTTTGCTTTAAAATGTTTCAAGTTTCTTTTGCCAATGTTACTTGGTGAGATTAAAAATCACAGTTAGTATACTGCTGAATCCCTTTTACCATCCACAATTTCCAATGATCATTTTTTAAGATTAATCATTTTAAGTGGTAATTTTCCCGCCTGACAACTTTTTGCAATTGGATGTGAATAAATATTGAATCAAATAAATATTGAATTGATGATTGCTTAATTTATTCCATATTGTATAAATTACCATTTTTTGTCATTATTTACAGTTTTTATATTTAAAATTTCTCTTTTGGCCATTTAGTAATTTTTTTTTCATACTTTCAAGAATTTATTTTATTTTATTAGTCAAAAGCTAATTTTGTAAAATAATTACATTACTTTTAATCAAACTATTTTATAGTCTGATTAAATTTCAACTTTTAAATGAATTCTTTACTTGTTTAGTAATAATTTAACTTAGTTAATTGATTATTCTAAGTCAATCTCAGCAGTGATTGCACAGGATTATTGCTTTGAAAGCTGGATTTACAATCATATTTTTCAACTTTAATAGTGTGTGTGTGTGTGTGTAAAATATAAAATACGAAACAAAACTATTAAAGTTAACCGGAATCAATTGGAACAAGACTTTTAAATTCATACATTTTATTTAAACACATCCCTGTTTCAAAGATGTGCTTTCAATCATTTTGCATGATTCTGTAGCATGTTACCCCACTCTTTCCCTGCACTGCAAAATCTTTAGCCCAATCACTGCTCAAGATTAGCACCAAGACTTTACTGCTATAAATATGACTACTGTTAATATACATGATTTTTTCTAACTTGCTGCTGCTTGAGTAAACACGTCTCTCACTTTGCCTTTCTTTTCTATTGTTTAAAATGTAAACTTCATACACAAAAATTGTAGGGCACATTTAGCACCCCTAGTGTTGTATCACTTTTAAGCAAAAATGTATTTTTGAATAATTGTTCCTGTGCATAATAAAAATGATGTTTTAACATCAAAGCAGTTGTGACTTTTGCACCAGTTGTCATCTATACAACAGTCTTCTTGCCCATGACTAAGGAGTGAATTAGTTTTCATCTTCCACAAAAACTACATCATATATATATATAATATTTATATGATGTAGTTTATATATATATATATATCTATTTGTATAATAAAAATTTATTACATAAATGTACACCTACATTCAGTTCTAAATTTCACATACTAATAACAATATGCATCCTGCATAAAGAAGTGGCACATTATGTTCTAGGGTTCTATTATTTTTACTAATAGTTACTTTATTTTGTTAAACTTTCTGACCTGAATCTCTGGAACCATTATCCAACGGTATGTTCGTTAACGGTATCATCTCCAAAGGCATGGCAAATTAGGCTACTTGATTCTGCTGCTCACAGGTTCACTTTAAAACCATACAGCAAACAACTCCGAACGAGCACATTTGACACATCCACTTCAATCAGTTGCTGTGCGAGTTATGTTTGAAGTACCGATGCAACATGCTTTTATACTCTTGTCAATGTTCAGACTCCCATCCTAACCACTTCATCACCAGGTTTGGCGATTACTTTTATGCTGGGTTGTATGTACTCTTCCAATGCCATATCAGAAATGGCAAAGAACTTTTTTGGTTACCTTGTACATTGTATATATACTATATTTTGCTTATAAGATTAATATGGGCATCAAAAAGTTAGAAAGAGAGGTGCATATTTGTATATGTATGCATGAGTATGGAAAGGAAGGAAATTTGCTAAGAAATTAAACTTACTAAAAGGCTTTTCCACTAGCTACAAGATCAATTCATTTCTTCCTATTACATATATAAGGGATCAAATCTTACAGAATAGCCATAATATAATTCATTTCAACAGAAATTTAAAAAATACACATTAAAATTAACAAAAAATTATTAATAATAATTTACCTGCCTTTTCAAGCTGTTTAAACTAGAGAATAAGTTCATTTGGTTATCTAAATTAAATCAGAATTGAAAGTTTTCTCTCTACAGTATTTCTGTATATTTAAATTACACTCCTGTTGTGGGCAAAAACAACTAAATACTATGTCATCAGCAATCACTGTTGTTATTTCATGCAATTTCCTTTGCTTTTTCAAATTTTCTGCAGAGTTTTATTTTATATTAATGGTTTTGTGTTAGTAATTTTTCCACTGTTCTGGGAAAAAAAAAAAAAAAATGTTGACTGGATATGTGTAATCTACAAACTCATTAAGTGGAAATTGACTGTATTTCTCTACTTGTTATAAAGAGTTCAACTGTATTAAGAAAAATAAATAAAATAAAATTTAAAAAAAAAAAAAAACTCATATCAAAACTGAAAAGAGGAGATTACAAATTTGTTTTGAAGTTATCTAGCTTAAGCAAAATAATTTTAGGATAAATAAAATTGATAACAAACCTTACCTTACCAATAATCACAAGAAATCTATGGAATCCTGAAGTTACATGAAATGCAGAGCCATAAACCGAATCAGAAATTCTAAAGCCTGCTATATAATACTCAAATAGTTGAAAAGATAAAATAATGATAAAGTTCTGCATCAATATCAATCAAACTAAATCAGATATTAATACTCAGTAAATTTCAGAACTTGTATAATATGGCAGAGAAAGTTAATGCAGTTGATAAATTACTTGAAATTAGATAGCATGCCTGATAAGTAAGAATACACTACAGGATATCACTAGCCAGAACCAACCACTAGAGGATATTATTATGCGCAGAATGATTATACAGCCAGTAACTTAAATCAGTTACTTTCTTCTCATATTTGATTAGCAGTGTCGCATTTATGCTTATTCAAACTGGATGTATGTTAAACGGCTATGGTAATGTAAACTCCAAACAAATGTGAAGTGCAGATCATTATATAGTTTTCAGTGCAAGAAGAGGACACAAACTGAAAATTTAAAGACAAATTTATGCAATTTATCATCACCTTATGAATTGAGAGAATGTTACAAAATGGTACCATGAATTCTTGAATTACAGAACTGATATGCAAAAGGAGCAAAAGGCCATCTTAATTCTCTGACGCTGTTCTTCAAATAATTGAAGAAGAAAATTGGGCTATCAAACATGCGTCAATAAGGAACTTTTATAAAATCTTTTCTAAAGTCTCAAGGACTTATTCTTAAAATCATGACTGAAGAATCAAAGTGCAGAAAACTGTACATGTAATTGCTCCCAAAATATTAATGGAAGAACATAAAATCAAAAGAGTGAGTTACATGCTCAGCTGTCACCCATAGTATACAGAATAAGGCAATAAATTTGAGGACTCCATTACGACAGGAAATGTAACTGAACTTTTTCACCTCGCAGCAGAAACTACATAAGAATCCATGCATGAATGATGCTATGTGCACTCCTCAAGACAACATAAATTCAGGTTTTGGTTCACTCATGACTTCACTTTTCCAGGACAGACAAGAAATCCTCCTTTTTCAATTCATATCTCCTGAGACAATTAAGGCTGATGCATACTTTGAAAACTTCAGATGACTTAGATGAATCATCCAAAACAAAGGGAAGAGAATGTTCCCACGCAGTTTCAACTTGCTCCATAATAATGCTTAGGTCCATAAAACATGCATTGCAACTCTTCTGCAAAACTTCAAACATGAGGTTTTGGATCATCCACAGTATAATAAGAACTCAATATCTAGTGATTTTCACTTAATAAAGTGAACTTCACCTAAGGAAACTCTTCTTTGGGCAAAGGTTCAAGGACAATAACAGATGAAAGCAGAAGTTATAAATGCAATTCAAATGGAAAATGGTAAATTTTTATGATGTGAAAATACAAACTATATATGTAACACATTCTGGGATAATCATGGCAGTTATAAGAAAGAATAATGCTACCTATTTTAATTAATTTGTAATGTAAATCTGATCCAATAAAAGTTTTTTGATTAAATAAGGACTACTGGTCTTTATTTTCTGGACATCTACACACGTTACACAAAAATCTCATACACGTTACACAAAAAATAAAGGGATAAATATTATATAAAACTTACACAGAATACTTAGAATAAAAAATAAAATAAATATATAAAACTAATTTTATGGGAAAAGAAATTAAAAAACAAAAAATATAAAACTAGAGTACTGTGAATTTAATAAAAAATACAAGAAAATTAATAAAAAAAGAAAATCAATTGCCCCTAAATCATGCATATTATACACATAATTAGCATGACTATTGTTAAACCTTAATGCATGCGACGAATGAGCTCTAAGTGCCTGCAGTAGTTGAAACAAAAATGAAGTGAATTTTTTTTTTGAAAAAAATATATATATATATTTTTTTAAAAGGAGAATTACATTAATAGCACGTTAAATAAATGCTTACACTCAGCAGAATTCCCAAATGTAGCATCCACTGCACTGCTAAAAAAAGAAAAGATGAAAGAAGCTCCATGAAATTTAACATATCTTTAACAAAAATACAGTCAAACGCCTTTAATCTGGATGTCCATAATCCAGAATGATCTATGATCCGGACCGCAAAGCTACAAACTTTCTGCGCATGCGTAAACGCATACATGTGCATAATACCTTTACGCATGTGCATAATACGTTTACGCATGCGCGTTTATGTATAACAGATGGTATAAGCTAAGCTAAAATTATCTAATTATCTATTTCAGTTAATGTTGCAGATTGCGTTGTTCCTTAATTGTCCTTCTAATTGGATCTGGCTTGTTATTTTTTGCAGACTTTTAGAGCAATTTTATAAAAGTAAGCTTGAACTTTTGATTATGTCAAAAAGAATTTCCGATTCTGGAGCTGCCAAAGGATCTACAAAGGTGAAAGCATGTTTTGATGTCCATCAAACAAAAAGTGGAATTGTTGCAAAAAATGGATAAAGGCATATTCTTTGTTTCTCTAACCATTCCGAAATCTGTTTATCAATTTCACGCTGCTCTGCGGTGTGGTGTGTGTGGGGGGGGTGCATTGCAGCGCACAATGAACTGGAAGTTGATCTGTCAGCAATATCCTTATCTTCAGGGCAGATGTTTTTATTTTATTCGGCTTATAATTCCTTACTATATGTAGTATTTCATCTCGATGTATTCCATCTTTGATATGATTTAAATCAAATTCCTCATCATTATAAATATCACGAATACACATCAAATTGTTTTCTGGTTGCAATTTTCTAATTTCGACTATGCATAATGTATGCTTTACGCATGCGCACATTGAAAGAAATGTTTAATAAAGTAAACAAATAAATATTAAGCTTTTTTTTTTTTTTGTTTTTTTGTAAATTTTGATACCCTTTAGATCATAATTGCTCTATATTTCATAAATTATGGTTTCATATTTTTAATTTTATAATTTCTGCATGCCATCTTACCAGATTTAAATTGATGATCTATAATCTGGAGAAACCGATAACCCGTAATTGCCAAAGTCCTGACGAGCCTGGATTAAAGACTTTTGACTGTACTTAGATAAAATTTCACTCTCTAATGATAGACAGGAAAAGATGAAAAAATCATGTTATACAGCTATTGATAAAAACAAGTAAATAAAACATAGAAGAGATCCTTATATCAAAATTAACTGAATTTTTGTGCAGTCTAGATATCTGAAACAATGGAGAATAGTGCATGACTTAATGAATAGTGCATGACATAATTTTACATAACTAGATTTTAAGCTGAATCTGTGATTAAAAATCAGATATGAACCATCAAGACAATGAATATACCCAGGATTTAACAGCTAAGGCAATGCATCTGAATTATGAATTCTATGTAAATATCACAAAAAATTATTAAAACTGAATACAGTTAACATTTGAACAAACTTCCATAACAAATAAATTCAAAATATTTGTTCTTTCTTCCTTTCCCTCTCTCAGTTCAATTTTTAAAATCTAAATTTTAAAATTTTACAAAATCTTGTGCACAAATTCTAAAATCTTAAATATAATACTAATCTCAAATAAAAAAAATTGTAACTATGTAATGCATAAAATTGATAATTACAGCAAATATATAATTTGACACATACTAAATATTTACAATTTTATTTACTTAAAAATGGAATAGCTCCATAACCAATCAATAATTACTTTATAATTATTTAATTCATAAATAATGGCGCTAATGATAAAGTATGTACAGACATTAAAAACATTATAAAACTTGCAATGTGATTAAATTTTATATGAAATAAGGAAAAAAATTAAGTACTGTCTGAGCAGTAATTAAGAACTAATTCATTTCACATTCTGAAAAATACATATGATTAACAAAGAATTTAATGACATTTAAAAACTTATATAATGAGAAGGATTTCAAATATCACTTTTGATAATTTAGATACATTGAGCTAATTTGTTATATAAATGCTTTTCTTAATTCATAGTATTTTGAATGGATTTTTATTTTTAATGTTCTTAGACTGCATAAATGCTTGTGATTTCCAAGTCAAAAAGTGTAAGTGTCTATGCAAAAGCTTGGATGCTGGTGAGAGTATGACCATACAGCAGCAAACACCAATCTAAGTAACTCTCAACATGTAAAAAACAACCATACAAAAATAAAATTAATCTCTAAAAGAATTCAAGTTTTGCAACTGACTTATCAAATTAGGATCTGATTATCTACACATGCATTTACAATGTCACGTAGTTCTCCGACTATGAACACTAAAGTTTCTTAAGTTATACATATTTTCATTAAAGATTTTCTACTTTCGTAGAAACCTTAATTCTGATTAATCTAGATACTTCCTTTTTTCTTCTTATGAAACTACCAAGTAAGCAGCTCTAAAATGAATCATTACTGCAAGTTTTTATGGACAAAGTCATTTACATAGTTTCCATAACAATTAAGAACATGAATTATGATAAAAAAAAGACATTGCCAAATTATACAGGCCTAGCCATTTAGGCATATTATGTGTTAAAAATAGCCTCATTCTTTGACCTAACTAGAAATTAACGCCATGTCTCACTTCTAAAACAAAGGAATATTCCAAAAAACAAAATACATAGGTCAGTAAAGCGATATATAAAAGCTCAGACATCATTCATAGAGACATTTTAACAGATTAAACTTGCATGATAAATCTAGCAGCTACATAATATGGATGTGTGTCCAAACCAGAAATTTCATAACACTATGCCAGCATGATGAAGCCAATACTTACATGAAGCTCATGTTTGATTTGAATTCAAAATATTTTATGGTTCTAGAATTTCTGTACACTTGAATATCATTTCAACAGCAAGATTTTAGTTTGGTTTTCTGATTACTTAATAAGCATGTCAAAATAATTAAATCACAGCATCTCCATACTGCAGCAAAAAAGTTGAAAAAAAAATTCATGAAATACAAAATTCTCAGAATTTCTCAAAGCTTTAAAATAGTTTAAAATCCCAATTACCTTTCGTCTCCATTTGAATATTCACTGCATTTTTCTAGCAGCTGCAATTTAGACATTTCAAGAGCAATAAGCATGTCCATAGCAGGATCTATGCCAGCTTCAAAAGTTTTAGAATCTAAAATTGGAGCATATCAATACATGCCATGAGAATTACATTTTTTAACAGAAACACAATATCATAATTAAAAAAAGTCTGATCTTAAAATAGTAATAGTTTCATATACCAGGAGGTTTTATAATTTCCCAGTGCTTGCATGTCAGGGAACAAAATTCATGTATTTCTCCAGTTCTGCAATTGCGAGCTCTAGGTCTTTTACAACCTTCACGAGAACATGTGCCTTGAAAAATATACAAAAGACTAAAATGTATTTTGCTAGCACTCATTTTTAAAATACAGAATTGTAGAAGCAATTTATTATCAAAGACATAGCATAATTTCCATTAAAATACAGTACAATTATTAAACTAGATTTACACATGCAATGCTGTCACCTTTGTGCAAAGTTATCTTTTAATGCCTTTATGAAGTGGAATTTCCAAATTAAAATGAAATTAACTTCAAATAATATTTATTTATTATATTAATATGAGATACACATAGGTTTGTCTGGCGCACCCATATTTGATGGAAGTATTTACTCTCCTGTACAACAAAGTAATGTTTTCAGGACATCAGTTTGTCTCAATTTTCCATCTCCCCCCCAAACAATTACCCAAAAAGGTTCGTTAAAATATTTTTACCCTCTCTCTGAGTTCACAGTCTACTTAGTCTACAGTTGCACTCACTCTAGTTAGCCCATTTGTCTTGCCTTTTTAGCTTCATTATTAAGAACACTTTCATCACACTTACACCATAAACAATTCAACAGCAAAATCACAAAATTTTTATTTAATTGAACAAAACTTAGAACTCCTTATGCAGTGTTAAGTGTTAGCATACATTTTTATATTTTTTTCACTCTTTCCTCAGTTTATCATATCAGTGTTAAATTTTCTTAATACGGTAGCTAGTAGTAAATGTTTTTTGCCTTTTTATTATTAAGGTTTTATGTTTAACTTTATTAAATATCACTATTTTTCCACTTATGCCACATAAAATTCAATCCAACAACACCAGATATTTAAAAACAGCATATCTTAAAAATTTGCAACAGACAGTTTAATGCACTGGAGGTAAAAATGTTTTATCCTATTCAGTGTTGCCACTGCTTGCTTTCAAATCACAGAGTTTGTTCGTCAAAAATTCATCAAAGTTTTACAAATATGAAATAGAAAATAAAACACATTTAAAATTCGGGCTTCAAGGTATATATGTTCAGGGAGAGGATTACATTATTTAAAATTTTATGGCTCTAGGTATAATCATTTTCTCATATTATGAAAAACATTTATGGAAATTCTTTATTACTTAATTTCTTTAAAAATAATACAAGGTGATAATATTTGGTGGCAACAATTTGAAAAGTGATACACCATTTATAATTGATTTAATGCAAAATCTCATTTCAAGATTAATGGCCCATTTGGTGTGATGTATTTGGCAAGATGGAGTAGGACAACAGTTATATTCTTCATTCATGATTTTTAATTAAAAAACAGCTTTCTTCCCAAATAATGCTGTTATTGGAAATTACTTTCTCTGTGTGTCTGTTGCTCTTTTTACAAAAATATTACTTTTTTTATTCACAATTGGAAGTTTTGTTCTGTCTGGTACTTCTGAAGACATTTGCCCAAATATAATTTTACAATAATTTTGTTGCTTTCCTTTCAGAGAGGAAGATGGACAGAGATGGACAGACTCTCTTGTTTTCCTGAATATGAATCAAATATTGTGACTGACACATCCGGAATATTTTCTTTTGTATTCATTAGTAGCACTCCTTGAATATGAGTGCACTGATTTCAAATAGGACATTTCAATTAAGACACAATAACATGCCAAGCAAATACTAATTCAGAAGTCAAACAACAAAAATCAGCATTATATTTTCAAATTTCACAGACTAGTTCGATATTTTTTCCGAACCACCATCCTCACTGCAAAGGCAATGAATGAGATATGATATAATGATTAGATAAGATAAGAAGCTGGCAGAAATAGCTAGGGTGCCATCGTTGATGAACAGAACTAAACATAATTTTTAAAGGCCGGTCCAGTGGATTGATTAGGATCGTTACTGAGCAGAAAGATTTTTTGAATGTGAATGCTCTAGAAAATCCGTTCTCCAATGGAAGATGTTTTAATAATTTGGCAGCAGAAAAATTGAAAGTGTGATTTTCAGATCAACAATGTTGGGCAAGAGAAGAAACTTTGAAAATATAACACTGATTTTTGTTGTTTGACTTTTGAATTAGGACTTTTCAAGTTAAGATATGATAGTGTCCCAAACAACAGAATATATCTGAGATATTTTATGAGTAATGTGAGAATATTCCAAGAAAAGGCTATAATTTTTAAATATATTGGAATGTATGTGGAACATTAAAAAAACAGCATGTTTCTACATGTAAGGATACTTAAAAAAATATACAAGGGATATTCTTTACATGTTCTAGGAATGGTCCAGAAATTTAAGCTCTAATTAGGATGCAAATCTGTAACCTTTTTAATATCGGAAGATTTCATTTGGGCTTGTATACAAGAAAACATTCTAGCCCACTCTCATCCTAATCACTCAATGCTTCAGGTATATTCCTTCCAGTAGATTAGAAGAGTATTTCAAATTGAAATATGCATGGACCATTCTGAAAATTTTTCTTGAAAATCACAAAATAATCCCGGAGATATGCTTCCGCAGGGTTCGTACACATTTCTGCACACAGAAATTAAGTACTTTT